TCCTCCTTTTCCTCTTCCTCCTTCTCTTCCTCCTCCTTCTCCGACTTCCTTCTTCTCCTCCTCCTCCTCCTCATCCTCCTCATCCTCCTCCTTCTCCTCCTCCTCCTCCTCCGTCTCCTCCTCCTCCTCCTCCTCCTCCTCCTCCTCCTCCTCCTCCTCCCCTCCTCTCCATCCTCTCCTCCCATCCTCCTCCTCCTCCCCCTCCTCCTCCTCATCATCCTTATCTCTCCCTCCTCCTCCTCCTCCTCCTCCTCCTCCTCCTCCTCCTCCTCCTCCTCCTCCTCCTCTTCCTCCTCCTCCTCCTCCTAGCTCCGCACGGATTTCTTTTGGATCTGCGGGGGCCCCCCTGGCGGCACCACCGGTGCCAGTGCTGGCGCGCGGAGCGCTGCAAGATCGGGCGGAGGCAACGCCGACCCAGGAAGGTCGCGCGGAGCTCCGGAACCTCATGTCTGCGCAGGCGATTTCCTCTTCGGATGGAGAGGCGATGCGCATTGCCCAGTCCGCAGTGGGGAGGACCACGTCGAGCAGCACCTCGTCGTTGATGCGGTGCTTCCCGATCACGGTGAAGCCCGCCTGCGCCTCCAGGTCGCCCGGGTCCGTGCCCATGGCCTGCACGTAGAGCCAGGACCTGCCCCCGAGCTTCCTGATCTCGTCCGTGCACGCCTGGATGATGGCTCGGGAAACTGGCCTGGGAGACATCGGGCCGGGCAAAAGGGGGGGATAGCAAAGGGGGGGGGGTGAGAATCAGCTCACGTAGCTGATTTTACCGGCGCCTCCCGGCGCCGGGAGGCGCCCATGTATCGAGGAATGGGCCCGGCGGCGGGGCCGAAACCAGCTGCATGCAGCAGATTTCGTAACCCCCCCTTTCCCAAACCCCCCCTTTCGCCCGACCCGAGAGACAGGAGGACACACCAGTGCTGCGACTGTGAGCCCCCATTGGAGGTGCCCGCCCATGTCGAGCGTATAGCACAGACATCTTGTAGCAGTACATCGTCACCCCGGCGGTATGGCCAGAAAGAGCCTGCCACTGAGCAGACGACAAGAGAACTGAGCGCGCGCGTCGAACCTGGGGAGGGGGGGGGGACGCACCTGCAGTAACAAGCATGTTTGGGTGATGCCAGCGCGCTCGACGAGCAACTCTTCCACGTCTGAGCGCTCTTTCCTCCCACTCCCCTCGCGCGGCCGCCCTAGTCCCTGTCCCTCTCTTGCACTCCGGTCTATTAGCCATCCGGTTGCCTTGAAGCGCCACACGCTTGAGCGGACTGCCTCTGCCTCGCCGCCGACGAAAAAAGTTGAAAAGTTTGGGTGATGCCGGTGGCCTGCTAAAGAGCGGCGTCGTCCACTCTTCGGCACTCGCGCCCGCCGGAGGCGAGTACCCAGGGAAGGCGTCGTAGAACTGGAACTCCAGGACCCCGAACTGGTCCACCATGCGCCGCACGTTCTCGCGCGCCTGCTCCGCGGTAATCCTGCAGGGTAGGAGCACGCGGCATGCCGCTGGGTCGCGTCGCGATGTTAAAGGGCGTCGGATCGTTCAACTGATGGGCAATTTTTTCAACCACCACTACCATATGTAGGACGGGGGATAAGGGAGGATGAGGAGGTCCTCCTCCTCCTCCTCCTCCTCCTCCTCCTCCTCCTCCTCCTCCTCCTCCTCCTCCCTCCTCCGCTTCCTCCTCCCTCCTCCTCCTCCTCCTCCTCCTCCTCCCCCTCCTCCTCCTCCTCCTCCTTCTCCTCCTCCTCCTCCTCCTTCTCCTCCTCCCCCCCCTCCTACCTATGACAGTGGTGGTGCACCACGGGCCCATCAGCAGCCTTCAACGATCGAGAGCCGGCAGCGCGGGATCGCTCGAGACCGACTCTGGGCCGCTGGCGGCGCGTGACCTTGAACGCTGGCGTTGGGGTCGCCGCCGCGTCAACACGGCGCAAACCTACCGCAGACTTCGGTCGGGCATGTCCTCCTGCAGGTGGATCTTGGAAGAACCATAAAACATAGTCAACGATATTCGAAAGTGGTTGTAAATATTCAAGCGTCGTCCCCAGACTATGTGTTTACTATTCTTGCACACGTCTCATGTAGAGGGACATGCCCGAATTAACCGTAGAGCTGCTTTCGACGGTCTGCGGTGCTTTCCCTCGGACCCGCGCCAAACCCCCCCTCCCTGGCGCGCGGGGCGCGCCAGGAGGGGCCCAGCGCCGCTCCGAGAAGTCCGAGCGGAGCGCCGACAGCTTACAGTGGAGGCCCGTCCGCACCAGAAACCCAACCCTAAGACCCCAGGACGTCCATCGACTTTTTGCCTGGGAACGCCGCGCCTTCCACTCCAGAACCATCGAAACCCAGGAAACCCGGGGCACCCTGGAGGCGAGCAGGGTGCTTCTTGGCATGGGCCTCCACGGGATGTCGGTGCCTTTGGACGCCCGAAATGGGTACGGACAAAAATGGGTACAATGCCCAACAACAAATGTTGTCCCAAACCAACAGCGGCCGCTGTTGGGCAGGCGGCCTTCTGTCTCAAACGGACACAGACCGCGGCGGCGCGGACAGCGAGTCCTGTTTGAGACGAACAGGAACTGCTGTTGGGCATCGTACCCATTCTTTCCGTACGTACCCACTTCGTTCGTGCCGAGCGCCGCGTTTCCTCGGGCCGGGCGAAAGGGGGGGGATAGCAAACGGGGGGGGGGGGAGAATCAGCTCACGTAGCTGATTTCCCCGGCGCCTCCCGGCGCCGGAGGCGGCCATGTATCGAGGAATAGGGGCCCCTCGGTGAGGCCGAAACCGGCTGCGTGCCGCAAATTTCGTACCCCCCCCGTTCCCAGTCCCCCCCCTGTTCGTCCGGCCCGCTGTTCGTCTCCGAGGTCCCCCCGAACGTGGACAGGAATCCGTACTCGCCGCGGAGCGGGTCGGCCTCCACGGGGCCGCCAGGGGGCAGGCCCGGGGCGCCGCGGGCGCCGAGGGCGCCCGCCAGGAGCCCGCGCAGCCAGGGCCCGGCGCCGACCCGCGGCATGGCCGCGGGGGGCCCGTCCGCGGAGCAGGGGCCCGGCCGTCCCGGCAGTCCCACGGGCCCACCACTTTGGACGCCCGAAATGGGTACGGACAAAAATGGGTACAGTGCCCAACAACAAATGTTGTCCCAGACCAACAGCGGCCGCTGTTGGGCAGGAGGCCTTCTGTCTCGAATGGGCACAGGCCGCGGCGGCGCGGACGGCGAATCCTGCTCAAAATGAACAGGAACTGCTGTTGGGCATCGTATCCATTCTTTCCGTACCCATTTCGGGCGTCCAGAACCACGGAACGTTCTTGGAGCCCAAAAGCACGCTCCGAGAGCCAAAAACCATGGTCTCAGAACAGAAGCCCGACGTGTCAAGACAGGACGGCCGCGGCCAGAAATGTTCTGAGGGCATTTCGTGCAAGCCACACGAGGCTCTTAGAACATTCTTTGGTGGGCCTATAGGCGAGCCAGGACGCTTCGCCACTGCTTGAGTCCGCGCCCTCCCGGCCCCTGGCCCCGAACACCCGGGGCGGCCGGACTGAGCCCAAGAGGGGTACGGGGCAGCAGCATGGTCAGAATCACCATCGCGTCGCCCAAGAATCATCAGCACAATCCTCATTATGATCATCAGCGTGGTGATTCATGATCAACACCAGGATCATCAACATCAGCATCACTCAAGAACCATCATTCACCAGCAACCCTCACCAGAATTGGGCATCACCAAGAGAAAGAGAATGACCACCGTTAGCTGATTCTTGATATCATCACCACCAACATCATTACCAGAATCATCAGCACCATGATCATCATTATCATCATGATGGAGCATCGCGTCGTTCAAGAATCACGACGGGAGGTGTTTGGCCGTTCCCGGCCTCCAAGGACCCTCGCCAGGCCCCGGGACCTTCTAAAAAAGACTCAGGATAAAAAACGGGTACCACGGAAAGGGTCGGGATTTTCAAGGACCCTGCACTGAAAAAGTCAGTACGTCGCACGTATGGGCTCAGATCCTGGCGCTGTATTTTTTCACATCGTGGGAGTTCGCCGTGTCTCGGGCCCTGAGGCCCTCCAAGATCGAGGCGGCCGGAAAAAGGGCGCAGAAAGGTAGGAGAGACAGAAGTACCACTACCACCAGCTAGGGGGGTGGCCGCTCCCTCCCCTCGAGCTGGTGGCACCTCCTTCGGGGAGCTCTCTGGAGGCATGCCCGGAAAGAGGTGCCACCAGCTCGAGAGGGTGGGACAGCCACCCCCCTGGCTGGTGGTAGTGGTACTCTTGGCTCTGGTGAGAAAGGTAGGGGTCCAGGGCCCTGGTCGTGATTTTCACGATGTGGCAACTTTTCGCTACGTCGGATCTCAGGGGAGGCGGCAGTCGCGGCAGCGGCGGCGGAGGGAAGGACGCGGTGAGGCTCGGCGGTGCAAGTGGAATCGCGGGCCCCGAGCGGACCCCCAGGCCATCCCTGGGCCAGGCTGGACACGACTGTAGACACGGAATCGGCGACTCAGAAGGGTGTGGTGTGCAAAGGGTGCGGTTTGCAACTCGCGCCCTGGGGGGTAGGCCATGACCTCGACACTGTTCTCCGCCGCGCCGCGAGGAGGGATCATCGAGCCGTTGGCGCACTGTGGCGCTTCCCAAGCCCCAACGGCGCAGATCGCAAACCACGCCCATCGCAGCCCTTTGCAAGGCTGGCGCATGGCCGTGCGCAGACCATTCCGCAAACGCATTGAGCGTGCCGCATTCTGCCAGAGGATGCGAGCGCAAGAGCAGCAAGCAGCACGCACAGGGGAGACAAAAGATACCGATACCGCTGCTCCCCAGACCTCCTGGGGCGCATTGTGACCAGAAGTTCGAGGAGAAGCCAGTTGTGGCGACGAGAGCTCTCCCGGAGGAGCGGCGGTATCGATGTCGGTTCCTCCACCGAACGCAAGGAGCGGCGGAAGGAAGGACCCGATCGGCCTGCAGGGTCCACAGCAGGTTGCCGGTGATGCTGGGCGGAGCCACCACGCAGGTCTCGGCCTGTTTGCTTCCCCTGCCTTCAAGCTTCCCCGCCTCCTCCTGCTCGCTGTCCTTCTGGGCCTCCTCCTGCTGACACCTGCGACGCGAGGCTTGGGGGTTCGCCAACACGGTGTGAATAATCGAAGCCTCGCGCGCACTCAGTTAGCCACGTACTTTGCTCTAGACCCTCGGATGCCGGATGAGAGGGCGGAGGGCAACCTTGCCAGCCGTGACCACTCCATGGCATGGCTGACCTGCGTGGCGAAGTCACTTGCAACCCTTGTACTGAGGGGCTCTCTCTTGCGTTATGAGCAATTGGGTGGCTGTGTACCGTCGACCCGTATCGTAAGGATGCCAGGGCCTTGGAGGCCCACGTTCACGGTGTTACAGCGAGGCCGGCCAGCGAAAGTCGCGGAGGACGGGCCGAAGGGGCAAGGATGCAAGGGGTACCCTTGGGAAGGTTGCCCATCCTTACTATGCGGGTTGGCTGCAGGCCAGGTTGGCGCCCCGTCGCCCGCGCGCGGGCGCCGCGCGGGCGACACTGTGCGCTGGCGGGGTGCCTCGGGTTCTCGCCCACGCCGCCGCCCGTGAACGCCTTTTGGTGGGCGCCCCGCACGCTGGCTGGAATGTCAGGGTGCACAGACTGCTTGCCCTGCATAGCTTGCACCACACAGCCTGCACCATGCAGAGTGCACCACATCGATTATACCACATAACTTGCACCACACACAGCCAGACCGTATCAGAAGGAGGCGCGACGAGGATGCAAGGGCCTTGGGCGCCCATTTCGGAGCTTTTCGAGTGGGGCGCGGCCACCGAGAGCGGCCAAGGATGGACCGAGGAGGCAAGGATGCAAGGGTACCCTTGGGAAGGTTGCCCATCCTTACTATGCGGGTTGATTGTAGCTTGCACCACATAGCATGCACAAGGCAGAGTGCACCACATCGATTGTACCACACAACTTGCATCACGCATAAAATGGCAACGAATAGATAGCACCACACCGCGTGCAACGCATCGATTGCACAACGTAGGCAACACATCCAGAGTGCAGGAGCCCAGTCATCGACGTCCACGCTGGCAAACATACATCCTTATCGAAATCCAGACTCTCCGCACAGTGCTTGCACCAAGGGAGTCTGCCTGGGTCTGGAAAGAATCGGGGCTGCCTGGCGGGTTCGACCGTACTCCAGATTTCGAAATAAAAGGGAGGGGGCCTGGACCCTCCAAGACAAGCCATCTCAGACCTCCCCCGTAGGAGAACCCTCCAAGACATCGCCCCCAGACCCCCCCAGGCCCTCCAAGACAGCCTGGAAGAGACCCCCCCCGAAAGGAGACCCCCCTCCCTTTATCACGAAATCTGGAGGAGGAGGAGGAGGAGGAGGAGGAGGAGAGACCCGCGCAACCGGCCAGACCATCTCAAGGCTCCGACCAGGGGGGCCTTGGGCTCCGATGCCCTGGGCGGCGGGGCCGGCGGCAGTTCGCCGCAGGACCCCGCCCGTCCGCTCAAGAGGCTCCGCAGAGAGGGCCCCGCCCGCGAAGTCCTGCCCGGAGGGTCCCAGGCTTGGCTGCCATCCCCGATGCGGCTCGAGCCGTGTTCGTCGATCGACGCGACTCTCGACTCGGCGAGCGATTCGCGAGATCCCGACCTCGCCAAACTCTTCGTCTTGCGCGTTCAGGTCGGAACGACCGAACTAGCTCGGCATCCAGGTTTGAGGCCACCAAAGCAGTTCCAAACCCAGGCCACATACAATCCAATACACGTCGGTCGGAAGAAGTAGGTAAAGACAATAAGTCGGAAGGCGGCTAAAGTAGACTGGGTACAGGCCCTTCCAGAGAATAACAAAACACAGCAAAAGCACGTCGATGTTTGAAGTGGGAAGGTGAGCTTGAAGTAGATTCGGACCTGGGAATCCACAAATACCTACTCTCAACGACCGACGGGTGTTTTCGGAGCGCGAATGTGCCTACTGGTGGTGTCACGCAGACGACCCCGTCATCCTTCCTCCTTGCCCTTCTCCCTCCTCCTCCTCCTCCTCCTCCTCCTCCTCCTCCGCCTCCTCCTCCTCCTCTCTTCCTCGCCTCCTCCTTCTCCTCCTCCATGTTTCCCCCCTCCGCCTGCACCCAATCCTACGTGTCTTCCTCCTCCTCCGCCGCGAGGAGAGGAGGCGACGTCCCCTCCTCCTCTCCTCGCGGCGTCGCACGCTTTTCCGCGCGCGTCGCTGCCCATTTCTCCTCCATCCTCCGCCAACTCTTCCCAGTCCAGTCCTCTCTCTCTCCCTCTTCCCCCCCCCCTCTTTTGGCTCAAGGGGTTTTGGGCGCAGATCCCAGGGATCTGCGAACCCCTCCGTCGGACAGCGGCCAAACGTGCTGGCCCGCCTCCAGCGAGGCGGCTGGCCGTGCCATCGCACCGCGAGCGCGGGCAACTGTGGCAGGCCCCGGGCCCTCCGCCACAGCTTGCCGCGCCTGCGACGCTCGTGGCAGGCCCCGGGCCCACCGCCACGACGCGCCGCGCAGCGCCACCAGAGCCAGCCTGGCACAGGCGAGAGAGGTCGCGCAGAGCGTGTGACCGAGTCTTTGTCAGACTAGCAGCATCGTTTGCACGGCTTCAACAGCATCACAGCAGTCAGAGGGGGACCACAATGACGACGGCCCCAAGAAAGTCTCGCCCATCGGTAGGCACTCAGAAGTTCTGGGAATGCAGCTCATGCCAGCGCCAGAACCTGTGGTCCTCGTCATCCTGCAGATTCTGCTCCGCCAGCCACCACAAGGATGAGGATCCCATCGAAGATCACGATGATGACAGCAGCGGATGGCAAGTGCAGCGCAGACGACGCAGCTCACGTCCGCGCTCAAGACCAGCGCCGTGGCATGGCGCATGGAACCAGCAGCAGTGGCACAATTGGGACAATGGTGCCTCGCAGCAGAAGGACCCGCCCACCAGAGCACGCAGCGCAGCGCCGACCCACGCGTTCGCGCAGGCACCTCCGCTGCCACGACCAGCGGATCCAGAGCATGCAGAACAGCATCGCCTTTGGCTGCCACCACCAGCATCAAGCAAAGACCTCCGAGCCCATCGTGCCCAGCTCAAAGGGTCTCTTGACGCCCTAGAGAAACAAATTGCCTCAGCATACGAGCTAGGGCAAAGGGGGGAGATCATCCGCTCCCTCGAGGACGACTACTCGGTGATCTTATACCAAGTCATGTTCGCCAGGGACGCCAAGTCACGCACCGAGCAGCAGCGTGCTTACCTGGACAGGGTCAAGAAAAGGCAGCAGGACTCCCAGAAGGACGTCGACAATCTCTCAGAGAAGTTGCGCCTGGCGAAGGCGCGCACGCAGGCCGTGACGGAGGACGTCACCAAGGCCGAGGAGCTGCTGGCACACTTCGAGCCCCTCGAGCGCCAGGAGCAGCAGGACCGAGACGCCGCAGCAGCAGGCATGGACGTGGACGGCACCTCCCAGAAGATAGACGGCGCAGCGCTTGGCCCAGCGCACGCATCCAGCAGTCCTCCAGTTGCTCAGCTCGCGGCACTACAGGCTACCAACGCCGACATGTCAGAGCAGCTCACCAAGCTGGCAGCCCAGATGGCAGTGCTGCAGAGCGCGCTGAGCGCCCAACTGCAGCAGCAGCAAGCGAGCGCAGCCCCCAGCATCGCTGGGATCGCGGCACCAGCGCCGCAGACGCCAGCAGCAGCGGTCCATGCACCAGTGACGGCAGGACCTACACAGAAGGCGACAATGCTGGCAGGGGAGCCCGCCTCATGGCCTGCTCCACCAGGAGCCCAGGCGGCACCCTCACCAGTGGAGGCAGCGCTCGCAGCAGCAAGCGGAGCAGCAGCCGCTAGCAGCCCAGAACCTGGAGGAAGGGCTCCCGCAGGTGCACCGAGCCGCCAGCGCAGAGCCACTCCAGCAGCAGGGCGTACTGCAGGACGCTCGGGCAGCCGCCCAGCCAATGGCGGCATCCTCAAGGTCGCGTTCGACAAGAGCGTCGCCAATGCCAAGCGCCTCACGGGACCAGTGGAGCTCACCTCCGAAGACGACATGCACGAATCGGAAGCTGAGTCTCAGAGGGCCGCAGCTGAGCCTGATGCCCCGTCGCAGACTGTCATAGCGACTCGGCCCGAGGAGGTCGATCGCGACCTTTGACGGTCACCACTGCCTGAGACGGAAATGCATGTGCCGTCGCAGGCAGCGGACAGCCTAGAGGATTGTCCAACGCCGCCTTTAGAAGCATCTCCAGAGCAGCAACTGTCGCAGCTAGGCCTCGCCACTAGCCCGATCCCTCCGTTGCTCCCTACTAAGGAGATCATTCTAAGGTGCTGGACCACGCCCCTGGGAACCGACATACCATCACATGCGCAGCTTTGGCACACTACTACAGTACAGGGTATGGTTACCTTATCCGAAGCTCCTCAGCCCACTGAGGTCCCCACCAGTATCCAGATCTACACTGACGGAACCGCTGGCGGTTTCAAGGACTGGCAAGGAAACGAATGCCCCCCTGCTTGGGCATTTGTTGCCATAGCATCAGACGGGGAGAGACAGTGGCTGCATGGATATCTCGCTCATCCCTTCTCGTCTGCCGCTCTCCTATACCCCGCTGCGCTACTTTCAGCTGCCGCGGAGTTTGAGGCTGCCATATGGGCTGCCGCCTGGTGCATACAGTATCCGTACTTGGAGCACACACATGTGACGATACACACCGACAACATGGAGGTGGTACGTGGGGCGTATTTGGGGGCACTCAAAGGGCAGCTCTTGGGCCTCAAGGGTACCTTGGACGGTCTGGTGCAGGTCCTTACTAGGATCGCCAAAGGGTTCTCTTGGCAACACATTCCAGGACACCAGGGGACACCGTGGAACGAAATGGCGGACACGCTGGCGCGCCTGGCAGCCATGGGCATATTTACTTCACAGCCCGACACGCAATGGAGAACGGAGCTGGACCTGCCATGGCATCAGCGCGCCTTGCAGTGGCTTTGGCTAGAGTTTGTCAGCCAAGAGCGGCGCAGTCAGTTT